TCCGGCCCTCAGCGGCCCCTGCCCTTCCTGCGCTTGGCGGGTGGCTGGGCTTCGGGCAGCGCTGGCCAGGCGCGGCCCACGGACGCCGCCCGCCCTGCCCACAGTGCCCATTCATGGACGAGCGGATCATGTGCCTGCACAGCAAGATCAAGAGCCAGGCCCTGGAGTTCCCTGACCAGTGAGTGCCCGTTGGCCTGCTGCCCAGGCGGCCCCGCCCACGCTGCCCCTGGCCCCGCCTACATGGACGTAGTTCCTCCCTCACGTTAACCCCAGGCCCCGCCCACACTGCCCCAAGCCCCACCCAGTCGGTCCCGGCCCGCCCACCTCGGGCCCTGGCTCCGCCCACGCCGGCTTCCGCCCGCAGGCCTGACGTCGCAGAGGACCTGAAGGAGCTGATCACCCGCATGCTGGACAAGAACCCCGAGTCCAGGATCCTGGTGCCGGAGATCAAGGTACCCGGCCGGTGTGGCCCCGGGTGTGAGCCAGCCCAGCCGCGTCCTCTGCTTGGAATGGTTTGGCAGAACTGTCTGGCTCACCCTGCCTGGGCGGGACCAGCCCCTGGTCCACCTCGGCCCGCTGCCCTCTGTGCCCTGGGGCTGCTGGCCGGGCGGCAGCCTCGCCCCTGTGACGGGAATGGCTAGCAGCGGCGGGCGGCAGGCTCCCAGCCCTGGCGCCTCTTGGCTCTGGCGCCTCTCGCCCCAGCAGACCGGCCAGGAGCGGCCTGGGCTCTGCTGAGCCTGCCTGGCCTTTCGGGAGACTGCGGTGAGGGGGTCAGGCAGCCCATAGCCCCCGCGGAAGCACCGTCAGGACACCCGCTGTCCGCCCACCCCATGGCCCGCGCACACTGGCCTTCGGGAAATCTGCAGACCTGCTTCTAGGACCCAGTGGCCACGCAGACCGGCTCTCAGAGGGGCTGGCCGGAAGGCCTCCAGGGCTCCGACCTGGGGTGACCGTGGTCAGACCCCTGGCCGTCTGGGCCTGTCCTGAGGCTGGGCCCCGGGCCTCCCACCTCCGTCCCCTCTGCCTGAAGGGGGAGGAGGTTTCTCCGGGCTGTGCCTCCTGGCTCGTGGGAGCTGCCGGGGCTGGGGGGCCCCTCGGGGAGGCACCCCTCGGCGTCACTCCTGCCGAGCCCTGGGCCTGAGGGGACCTGGCCCAGCACACCCCGGCTTGTAGCCCCCCTTCTCTCTCTGCCTTCTCTGCACTTTCCCCCCCCGGCTCATCCTACCCCTGCCTGGCCACCGCCACCCCGCCTGCTGCCGCCTTGGCCCCGCTGGCCGGCAGGCCCCCGGGGCTGCGGGGCCCGCCCTCACCCCTCCTGTCGTTCGTTGAAGCTGCACCCCTGGGTCACCAGGCACGGGGCGGAGCCGCTGCCGTCGGAGGATGAGAATTGCACCCTGGTCGAGGTGACCGAAGAGGAGGTCGAGAATTCGGTCAAACACATTCCCAGCCTGGCGACCGTGGTAAGGCGGGCGGGCCAGCCCTGCAGGGGCAGCCCAGACAGGCCTGGCGACTGGGCGCTGGCGGCGGGTCTGCCCATCCTCTGCCTGGCCCAGCCTCGGCCTCATCACCAGCGGGTGGGGGCCGACGCCAGCTGACCCCTCAGAGTCGGCCTTGCTGGAATTCCTGCTCATGGAGTTCGACTGGGCAGGTGGGCGGTGGGCAGCTGCCACTGGGCCCGGGCCGCCGCCTCGGTAGGGATGCCTGCCCTACATTTGGGTCCCGACCCAGGAGAGACTCAGTGATCTGGGAGTCACTGCTGCCCAGCTCTGTCCGGAGGCCCCGACCCCAGGAGGCAGACTCGGGCCTGGGGCCGGGCAGCAGCCCGGGGCGGGGTCCAGCTGGCTGTGGCGCCCACCCCATGACCGCTCAGAACGCCCCTCACGGATTTGGCCCTGCCCGGCTGGTGGCCGGGCCCGAGGCGCCTTGCAGGCCGTCCGCAGGGACAGCGCCTGCCTTGAGGGCAGCTCCCGCGCCCTGGCGCCTTCTCCTGCTTCGCCGCCCCCCGCTTCCCCACGCACCTCCTCTCTCCGGTCACCTGCCTACCGCCTGGCTCCTGCATGGCCACTGTTGCCCACTCGCCCACCCTCTCTCTCTCTCATTCTCCCACTGCACTGTGGTTGGGGCAGCTGGGCCAGGCCGCGGCGCCCTCCTTGGGCCATCCCGTTCCAGGCCCCATGCTGGCCCAGAGGCAGCCCCTCGCCACCTGCCCGGGGCTCAGGGGCTCGAGAAATGCTTCTGGAGCAGGCCTGCGTGGCTTCTCAGGGCTGTGCTGGGCCGGGCAGGGCGGGGGTGTGGGGAGAACGCCGTCTTCCCGAGAGGCCAGCACGGCCGGACAGCCTGCAATGGCCACGGGATGTAGCGGCGCTGCGGGTCCTGGGGAGCTCGGCCTCCGGTGGCTGGGGGAGCCCTCTGGCAGGGGCGGCGTCCCGGGAGGGTGCAGGGCGAGGGCCGCCGGGGCCAGGGCAAGTGGGTGAAGCAGCAGTCCAGGGCGGACCATGGGGCTGCTGTGGCCACCGGAGCTGGTGACAGGCGGGGGGAGGGGGGCAGAGCCCAACACGCGTCGGCCCTCAGGGACCTCCGGCCTGGCAGGCAGGTGGGGCGGAGCAGAGGCCCGGGGAGCGGGGTGGCCCTGCCGGCACTGGGCAGTGCGTCCAGGGGCTGAGGAGCGGGGTCCCCGGGGGCAAGCCTCGCCATGCGGTGGCTTCTGCGCCCTCCTTGGGCGCTGCGTACAACTGGCCGCTTGGCGCGAACAGTCCGGCGGCTTTACCACCTTCCCCGTTGTGCCCCAGCCCCGGCGCAAGAAACCCTGCTGGCGAGCGCTGCCTGCCCCTCCCACCTGGCCAGCCGCCCTGGACAGCCGGGCAGCGTGCGCTGGGCCTTTCACTTGCGCGCCGAGGCACCCACGTCAGCCGCCTGCTGGTGGCCGCACTGCTCCCTGGCCCGCGGCACTGTCCGCCGCCAGCTGATGGGCACTGGCAGGGTCCACGCTTTGCTCGGCCAGTCTTTGTTTTTAAGACGGAAGCATCTACACACATGAGAACTGGGCACAGGCCAGAGGTGCTGGGGAGACTCCTCAGAGAAAGCGGGGTGCAGAACAGGCAGATCCCCCAAAACCCACTGCTGAGGGGCCGCGGGGAGGCAGGAGGGGTCTGCTGCCCCTGGGGTCACTCCCTGGCCGGAGGCGGCACTCAGGCCGCAGTGGCCTCTGACAGCCCCAGGCGCTGTGTCTTAACCTCCTGCGCCACCAGGGGGCCCCTCGAAAATCCTCTGAGGGACCCAGCAGCTTGTAGCAGCACTGAGGGTGACAGGCTCACTCCCTGTGTCCAGAACTTTCCACGGCCCCCTGGCCTGCAGTGGGTAAATTCCCTGCTGCTCCAAGTAAAGATTCTACGCCTGGGAGCGAGGGCATCTGCTCTTCAGAAGGGAGGGGCTTGCCTGGCCCGGCGGCGCCAGCCGCTTGGCGAGCACGAGGTGGGGGGACCTCGGGCCCCACTGCAGGCTTGCCGGGCCGGCCCTGCCGCGGCGCCCCAGGGTCTCTGGCTCCCTGACTCGCCGCGGCCAGAGGCCAGTGTCCCTGTGTCCGGGTTACGCCCTGGGTGCCTGGTCCGGGGAGGCATCGCCCGTTCTTGATGAAAATGCAGCCCCAGGTACAGCCAGTGGCCTACTGGTGGGACCAGCTCAGAGCAGCAGCACGATTATGGGCCTGCCCTGGGTGCGCCTGGGAGCGAGGCCGATGGGCGGCAGGGCTGCCATCCACTCCAAACCCCGCTCGGCCCCTCCCTGCGGCCAAGGAGCATCGCCCACCCAGAGCAGAAACAGACCCCCAACACACAAACCTTGAAACGTGCCGCCAGAGCAGTGAGCGGCCGGCTGTGAACGGCCCGTCCTGGAGATTTGTTTACGAGGAGCGCCTGGAGCAGGCGACTCCAGAGACAGACAACCGGGGTCTCGGGTGGGGGATGGTGTGGCTGCTAGTGGGTGCCACTCTCTTTTGGGGGGGATGTGAACGTTTTGAAGTTAGTGCTGCTGTGAATCTACCGAGAGCCGCTGAGTGGCTTTCACTTTAAAGCAGTGAATTTTAAGCGTTGCGACTACATGGTCGTCACAGAATGTGCATATGTACCCCGCTCCTCCCCCCATTAAGCACGGGGGCAACGGTTGCTTCCTGTGGGGTGGCTGCACACCACCCAGCAGTGACCCTGAGGGCAGCTGGCAGGGGCCCCTGTGCCCAGCAGGGATGCTCACCTGGCGTTGGCGGCCTTGGGGCTAGGCCCAGACAAGGTTGTGAGGGGCCTGGACTTGGCCCGACCTCACTGGCGCGAGGGAGCCGTGGGAGGCTCTGGAGGCGGACGGGTCAGTCTGGGGTGACCCCAGCTGGCCGAAGGGGCTGCCTGGTGTCCCTCCGCCGTCTTCAGCCTGGGCGGAGGAAGGCGCAGCAGGGATGGGACTGGGGCGGCAGGCGCTGGCCGTGCGCCCCACTGACCCCCGCCTCCCTCAGATCCTGGTGAAGACCATGATCCGCAAGCGCTCCTTCGGAAACCCGTTTGAGGGCAGCCGGCGCGAGGACCGGCCCCTGTGCGCGCCGGGGAACTTCGTGTGAGTGGTCTCGCTGCGGGCGGGGCGGGGAAGGGCGGGGCTCGGGTTGCTGTGGGTGTGTGGGGGGCCCCAGGCACACTTGCTGGGTTTGGTTTCACCCCTCTGGCTGGCAGCAAGCCCACCCCGGACCTCTGCCCCTCTTGCGGGCTGGAGGCCTGGACACAGAGGGCGCTTTTGTGGTCGTCTGCGCGCCTGGGGCGGGCAGGGGCCTAGGAGGGGTGGGCAAGGGTGTGTGAGGGTCCCCGGAGGGGTGTCCTGGTCCAGACTGCCTTGGCGGTGTTTCGGTGAAGAAGGGGTAGGGACGGGCACCCCATGGACCCCGAGGGGGCCCCATCTCACTTCCCATTTCCCTCCCCTCTGGCCATTCCAGCAAAAAGCCCACCAGGGAGTGTGAGCCCCTGTCCGAGCCCAAGGTAACGCCTGCCTGCTGCCTGCGCCAGCCTCTGCCAGGGCCCGGGGGCGGGGCAGGTGACGCCGGGCGCTGGGTTCCCGCGGCGGCTGCCGCGCTGCCCAGCAGGCCTCCAGCGCCAGGATGAGCACGGGGCGCGGGCAGGCTGTGCATGTGGCTGGGGCAGGTGCATGGCCCCACCGGGGTGCCCACTGCCCCGCGCTGCGGCGCAGCTGGCACGCTTGCGAACTCCGTGCGTCCCTGGCTTCCAAGCTGTGTCCTCAGGTGGGGCTGCCCTACACTGTGTGCGCGTTCAGAGCCGGTCGTGACCACTCTGGGGGGCTCAGCACCCGCCCACCCTCTGGTGGGGCGCATCCAGCACCCCAGCTCCACACGTGCCTACTACACGTTAGCGAGGGTCCCTGGCCCGGACCTTCCCCACTGGCCCCTCCGCACCCCAGTGCACCTGCCAGGGCAGATGGGCATTTGTGCCTGTGGACTGAGGTGACGGCTACTCGGCGCCCCTGCTGCCGCGAGCCCCGCCGCCCCCGCGTGCCCGGATGCGGCACCACCCCTGGGCTCTGCCCGCTGAGCGCGACCCCCCCCCCCGGCGTGTGCCCACGGGGAGCTGGGGCGAGCGCCGTGTGTGAGTGGTCACGCTGCGGCGGAGCGTGTGCCCCAGTGGCCCCTGGCAGGTCGGGTACCCGGGCGGCGTCGTGGCCGAGTCCCCCGGCCTCGGGGGTCGGCACCGGCCCTCCAGCCGCCAGCCTCCAGCGTCCAGAGGCCTGTGCTGTACGGTCCACTCCGTGGACCCACTCCGGCCTTCGTGCTGGCCCCTCGTGATCCTGAGGCCACACGGCTGGTGGCGGCACCGGTGTGGCTGACCACACCGGTCCAGCCCGTGGCGGTGGCCGCCTGGTCCGGGCTCGGGCAGGTGCAGCCACAGGCACCGGCGACTGATGATGGGATCGTGTGCGGGGGCGGAGCCCTCGCCGGGCATCGTGGAGCCTTCGGGCAGGGCTGGGCGGCTCTGGGCAGCCGGTGGCCGCGGGCACCCCTGTCTCCGCCTGCTGCTCCCCTGGTCTCTGAAGCTGAGTGTCAGTGTCGGGGTGCGCCTGCCCCCGGTGACGGGGGCGCCGAGTCACTGGCCTCGGCTTTCCCCCTCCGCCTTGGCTGCAGGGTTCGGGCAGCGCCGGGGTCCGGTCCGCAGTCTCTGCTGGCGCTCCCCAAGTCCGCTCTGGGAGGGCCTCCTAGGTGGTGGGGGCAGGTGGACGTGCGGGCCTGTCCCCTCTCCAGGACGCTCCGACCCTGTGCTCTGGCAGAAACTGGAGAGACCAGTGACTAATTTTCAAACAAAGCCGATGGTCCCGGGAATGAAAAGCCCTCCCATCGGGCGGACCCCGGGCAGGGAGCCCTGTGCCCACGTTGGGCAGGGAGCCCTGTGCACACGTTGGCCAGGCTCCTGGCCCTGGCCCTCAGTTGCCAGCACACAGTGCACGGCCCCGAGGCCCCAGCTGGGGTGTCTGCTGTCCAGCTCCTTGCTGCTGTGGTTCTGCACTGCAGAAGGCGTGCAAAGTCCCCTCGGAACGTTTCAGACATGCAAAAAAAGGGGGGTGGGGAGAGGCTGGTGGGGGCCGTGCCAACATGTCCCAGGGCATAACTTCGCTTTTCTGTTGGGGGGCAGGAAGCAAGGCAGCGAAGACAGCCTGCGGGGGCCCGAGCCGCCTCCCGTGGGGGAAGAGGAGGCGCTCTCGTGAAAGCCGAGCCCCCAGCACAGCCCTGGGCGCCCGCGGTCCCCCGCGCCCCCGCCGGCGCGCCGCCGGGGCAGCTGGACTCGGCCATGGAGTAGCGCCAGGTGGAGTAGCTGCGCCCGGCCGCCCGCGCATGCGCCGCCCGCGCCTCCCAGTGGCGCGTCCTCGGAGCCCAGCACGCTGTGCGTTGGCCGTCGTCTCTGGCTTGTTTTATTTTCGTTGTCGTTTCACAGAAGACAAAAAAAAAAAAAAAGACCTCCCGCCCTAACATCGACCTTGGCCGCTGGCTGGCCGACTGGCAGGCGGGCAGGTGTGAGGAGCGCCAGCCCACAGCCTCGAGCGTTTCGGGACGTTTGCGATTCAACATGTTTTAAGCCAAAAATTCTTCATTGTGGACTGAGGACCATGGCCGGGCACCAAGCGAAAGTGCGTGGGGCTGGGAAACGGTGAAGCCTGGCCAGAGACTGCCGAGCGGCCGAGCCGCGGAGCTGCCTCGCAGGGAGGGGGGCAGGGACCCCCGAGCCTGGACGGCTGGGACCCCTGAGCCTGGACGGCCGGCAGGGCCGCCGCGCCGGGACGCGCTTTCCTTTCGTTGATTTTTTATCGGTAGCCTAGTTATACGAGAAAGGGCTGGAAGCTTCTCGCTTCCCAAAGGGGGTCCTCGGACCCTGGAAAGGGCGTTTGGTGGTGCAAGGCCCCCGAGGGTGGCTGCGCCCCGCAGGCCCCAAGAGCTGACAGCGTTCAGTCTCGTTACATCGCACCAACTGCAGGGCGAAACCCGGCACTTCGTGGACGTTACCTGGCATCTGAGTAGAGACGCCCCACCCGCTGCTCCTCTGCCCACCGCACCCCGTGGGCGGTTTTGAGTTCTTAAAACCAGCTGACTGGCGCCGTGTGAAGTGCTCACCCAGTTTCTGGGGGCCGCTGGGCCCCTCCGTGCGCCGACTCCCGCAGGGTCGGCCCAGCCACCCAGCGCCGTCGGACCGGACACCCCGTGGGCACCTGGACACGCCTGTCGAAGCCCAGGGCACCCTCAGGTTGAGGGCACAGGGGTTCCCTTCGGGAGCCACAGTCCAGGAAGGAAAAGCACCTTGTGAGCAGCCAGCGCCCTCCGCAGGCTAGCGAGGTGA